CTGGATTGCGCCCAGGGGCATGATCCTGAGCCAAGTCCCTGTGTGCTGAGGCACCAGTGCGCAGCCACTAGTGCTGGGTCAGTGGAGAGGGGAGCCCCAAGAGTGCTGGCCAGGCTCATGGTCCTGGAGCTGCATCTGACATAGCCCAAGGGTTGCGGTCTGCCTTGCTCTGAGCTGAAGGGAGAACACGGTACTAACATGGACAAGGGATGCTCAGAGCAGGGCTCGCATGGTTCCCTGTGCTGCCTCTGTTCCCACTGACTTGCAGGGACCTGTGGCTTTGGGGCTGAGACCCCAGAGGGGATGTGCAGGAGGGGCTGAGGAGCAAACTATATGGAATGGTTGGAGACAGAGGCAGCTTTCAGGACATGGTGCTGGGTGCTGCCCACAGACCAGCGTGAATGTGCCCCTCAGGAGCCTCTCCTCCATTGTGCTCCTGTAGCCAAGGAGCTTGCTCACAGGCAAGTTCTGTCCAGCTTCTGGTTGCGGCTGCTGCTTGCCTTGTAGTTTGGGAGCAGCCCAAAGATCCTGCCTCTTCCAGGCCATTGAAGACACGTGCTTCCTTCTCTTTCCTCATCCCATGTCCTTTCCTGTGGCCTTCTGGCCTCCCACCCAGCTGATCCCTGCTCTCCTTTGTTACATGCCTCTTCCCAGGATGCTCTTTGAGGTTTCCAGCATTGAGAGCTGGAGTTTCCAGTGGGTTTTTGAGTATATGCTGTGGCAAGTACTCCTTTGAGTATTTTCCCCCTGCTTTGCTTTTCCTGCTGCAGGAGCTCAAGGGACTGGGTTTCCATGGCTCTTGCCAGGCAACACTCCCTTCTCAGTTCCTGCCTGTCAGCCTGGACCTGGGACCATTGTCCATAGAGTCCCTGCCAGGGGCTGCCTGGGATGGACCTGGCTGAGGTTGTGGCTGGGGAAGGGTGGGCACCCACCCTCTGCTTGGTGCTTGAGCTGGGTCTTTAACAGCTGCTGTGAGAGTCCTGGGCAGTGATGGACCATATCCATATGCTACAGTGAGCTGAGATGCCAGGGAGCCAATGGATCCAGCCAGGAGGAGGAGAGGAGCGAAAGAGCCTTATAAAGGCCTGTGGTGGGCAGCCCTCTACCCCCTGGGGGAAGCACCCCCATGGAGGTTTGTGATGGCAATGATACGATTGCATGTCTTATTGAGCACTACAAAGCTATGGGACACCTTTGTCTTCCAGCTCACTGGCTCCAGGTCCAAGGAGAGAGCATGGCCCAGGGTGACTGGGGTGAGAAAGAAAAGGAAAGAGAGCACGTGGGGTTGTTTGGGGCACCAAGGCTCCTCTCCAACTCCCTGTCCCCTTTCACACTGGTGGGCAAGCACCCCTGCGGAGCAGCCCTGTGTCTGGGTGATGGGGTGCGCGCTGCAACACCCCGGGAGCAGTGCTCAGTGCTGGGTTTCACTCCTGGATGCTGTTCCTCTGGCTGCCTCCCCGGGTGCACCTGCAGCCACCTCCTGCGCTCCGAAATGCGGCAGTGCTGCCAGCTCGGAGCGGTGCGCGGGTCAGAGCAGGGTCAGTGGGACGGATGCGAGTCTTGGCCTCTCCCTCGCAGTGACTCACCTTTTCAGCTCGGAAGGGAGAGCCCAGGGGAATTCTCCACAGCCTAAATATAGAGCGGGGTTGCCTGGTGCCTCTGACACGCTGTGGTGCAGAGAGGCCACTCGGGTGGCAGGGAACCTGCCTGGAGAGATGCTGGAGAAGCGCAGGGAGGTCAGGGAGCCAGCTCCTGCAGCAGTGTGTCACTGCAGACGGTGCAGAGAGCAAGTGTGGGGAGCTGCAGGCCAGCCAGCAGGTGCTGCTCTGGGGGACAGGGGCTGCCAGGGAGCTGCTGCTGCCCTGACCACAACATGAGCACGGGCTGCTCATGGGACTGCGTCCTACAGCCCTCCCCAGTGCCCACCACCTTGGTGTAGGGCTCCCTCCGTGCTGTGACCTCAAGCTCACACGTGCCATAGGAAGCACCACAGCTAGGGAGCGGGAGGCAGCAGGGGAGCCTCTGTACTCAGCATCCCTCAGCGCAGCATCTGTGAGCTTCCAGAGTCTCCTTTTCCTGGGTGGGAGCAATGGGGAGGCCCTGCCTTGCCAAGCTGCTTGGGGAAGGGGGAAGGTGCTGGGACAGGGCTGCCTGTACCAAACATGGACACGCAGCACCTGGGATAGACAGAGGCTTCCATGCTGAGTTCCACCAGCACGGTACGTGCCATCAGTCCAAGCAGTGCATCACACACAGTATTAGAGACGTGTCCTCAGTGTGGGTGACACAGCCCAGCACCCAGCCACTCCGGGCACGGCTCCTTGTACCCCACACAGGGACCTGCTCCAAAGCCGGTGCTGCACCAAGCTGAGATGTGAGAACTCCGTGAGTTTTTAGTATTAGGTTTAGTTCCTGCAGGTTTTTTTAATTTCCCCTCCAGGCAGGGAGGGCGAGAGTCGTGTAGGCTCCTCCACGCCGGCTTATGTCACATCAGTTCAGTCATATCACAGAAGCAATAAAGCTATCAAACAAGCTTGGCTGGCCTCTTTCTTCTGCTGCCTTCGGCCTTTGTTTAGGAGAGGCAGAGGGGTTCCTCTGCTAGGGCTGTCCCCAGCCTGGTTTCACTGCTGACTCCTCCAGCGCAGTGACCCCGATGCCACTGAGCTGGTGCTGGGAAGAGGGGAGGGCTGTGCTCCCCACCTGAGGGGTGGGACTGGGGTTTGTGCATTGGGTCCATGTCATGCTGGGGAGCAGAGGGGTAGCGGGTGGTCGTTCCCAACACAGGCTGCCTGCCACTGCTGCTCTCAGGGGGTCCCTGCAGCGCGGTGGCTTCCTGCCGCGGGTCACGGCAGCACTGGGGCTGGGTGCGGCCCCGCCAAGTGACCTTCTCACCACAGCGTCCAGGAAGGAAGCAGTTGAGGAAGCCAAAGGCCGAGGCTGTGACCGGCTTCGACACCTGCTGGGTCCCAGCGGGAGGAATGTAACCACTGTGGCAAGTCCCGGCGGTGCTGCAGGGACAGTCCCATATGGGACAAGGTGAGTGACCGGTCTGACAGCCCTGCCAGCTCCTAAACACAAGGGGGTCCTGCCAGCACTGATGGGACACCGCAGAGGCAGTGCCCAACCTTCCCCAGTGTGGGGCTGCAAGTTCCAGATCCCTCCTGGGAAGGAGATGCTGGAGCTGCTCAAAGCCTCCTTCCTGACCTTCTCTCTTCCCAGCCCTTAAAGAGCAAAGGCCACTGCTGCCATCAGGCCTGGCCTTGGGAGGACTGTGGAGGGGAGAGCACAGTGCCTGGTGCCAGGGCACATGGGGACAGGTCAGCAGAGACAAGGACACTTGCTGTGGAGCGGGTGTCTCCCAAGGAGCCGCATCACTGCTGAGACGGGGGCAATGCAGCCGGTCGGTCCATCTGCATCACAGCTCTCCCACGTGGGTTTTGTCACATCCAGCCATGGCTTCACACAGGCACAGCAGCAGCCACGTCATGCTCAGTCCTGCCATCTGCCTGGATCACATCATCCCCAACCCATCACACAAGGGTGGCACCTTCAGGGACAGACACCACAGGAAGCCAGGGCCCTGCCGTGAGCCCCTGCAGGGCTCATTCCAAACCCAACAAGGGACACCCCTGCCCTGGGGGTCAGGAGCACAGGCTGATTACAGGCAATGCCTTGGGAAGCATCAAGGCAGCCGCTGCCAGCAGCAGTTAGGGAGTACATCATCCATCTGTCTGGAGACCTGTGGGGCTGGGGACCCTGCCCTACACCCCAGAACTGTGGGGCCCAGCACACACTCAGCATTCCCCAGGGCAGAGCCGATACTCATGGGAACCAAAGGAGAGAGCAGTGCCCAGATTCAGGCACAGAGCTGGGACGTGCCACCTCCTGCCACCGTGATCTCGGTGGGACAGGGAGGAGGTGCAGCTGGCAGGCAGGACATCAGTGGAGCTGATGGCAGCAGCAAGGTCACGTCTCCCAGGACAAGGGCTAGGGGCAGGACCCCTAGGTTGTCTGGTGTAGCAGCCATGAAGGGGGCACAACTGGAAGAAGACAAAGGCCTGGCTGTGCACAGCCACCCCCTTCACAGGACCATGGACTCACCTGTATGGGGATGCTCTGAACACTCTCCTGTGCCATGCCCCACACAGCATTATGCATACAGCAGGTCCGGGCTGTGCCTTGGGAACACAAGGACCCAGCCCAACCCACAGGGAAGGTGGGAGGGAAAAAGGTAACCCCTGGGGTGAGCCAGTACCTGGGGCTGTGTCCAGGCTGTCGGTAGGGGAGATAACACTCCCTGCCATTGGCAGCCCCTCTATGGGCAGCTGGTCCCAGTCCCATGGTGACAGCCAAGGCAGCCTGGAGCAGGACATGCCACTCACATGGAAACTTTCCAAGTAGGCAGCTCCATTAGTCTGCAGCCCTGCAAAGCTGAGGATCCTGTTCCCTGCCCCTGCCTGATTCCCCACCCCAGGGATGCCCCTGAGCCTCTAAAAACCTCTGCTGGCCTCCAGGGCACCATGTCTGCCAGCTCCAATGCGGGCATCATAGGTGGGAGCAGCCTCAGGCCGCATCACACAGCCCATCCACACAGTCCCGTTGTGCCCATGAAGCCACCAGTGCCCACAAGCTGGTCCCAGCTGCATGTGCCAGTGGTAAGGGGGTCCCCGGGCCACCTCCCCAGGCTCTGCTAGTGGTGGCGGGGACGGCTTAGAAGGTTCCTCCCGTGCCAGCACATTCCTTGGCAGGTGATGCCGCGGGAGGGACGCGGGAGTTGCCATCCCCGCACCGGATAATCCGACGGGATGAGACGAGACAGGGCGGGCGCAGCCGGACCGCGGGGCCGGGGCTCCGTGCCCCAGGACGGACCCCACGGGCGCCCCGGAGCCGTGGTGTGGCCAAGGCACCGCCAGTGACCGAGCCGCTGGCCCGGCTCCAGCCTCGGGACTTACATAAACCCGGGGCGGTTGCGCCGAGCGTGGCCGGCGGCACCCCGGGGCGCGCAGCTCGGCCCCGCGCTCCCCGACCCCGCCGGGCCATGGGGGCTGTCCCCGGCGCGGGGTGGGGGGGGGGCTGGCCCGGGCCGGGCTGCTCGGCGGCGGCCGGGTCCGTCCAGGGCAGCACGTGTGGAGCGGGGCCGAGCGGAGGCGGCCCTGGGATTTGGCACGTTTGCAAGGAGCACTCGAGAGCCCCGGGATGGACGTGGAGGGCCCTGGGCAGTGACGTAAGGACTCGCACGGGCTCGGCTCGGCTCGCCAGCCGGCCCCCATGTCCCCGGGGCCTGCGGCGGCCCCGGCGGAGGGAGGCAGGGACGCGGCGGAGGTAAGGAGGGACCTGGCCGCGGGGCACCCGTGGGCCGTGGCCGCGGGGCGCGGGCGGGCGGAGAGGCCGGGCAGGGAGGCCGGGCTCCTCCTCCGGCGAGGCCGGACGTGAGCGCCAGGCACACCGGTGGCCCGCGGCGGCTCCGGGTGCGTGGGACGCCCGCCAGCCCCGCCGCTGCTCGGGACACCCCAACCCATCCTCTCGACTGTGTGCGGGAGGACCCTGTGGAGCTCTGCCCACCGAAGCCCCGTGGGGTTCTGCTCCCGGAGCTCCCCGGGGAGGGCTGAACTCGTCCCCGGGGGTGTCCGTGTGTCCGTCCTGCCAGGGCTGGGACCGGGCTGTGGGGCAGGGAGCCCCTCTCACGGGCTGTCCGTCCGTCCAGGCTGCGTGTCCGTCTCCCGTCCGCCTGCCCGGAGGCCTGCCGGCGAGCAGGTCGTGGTAGCGGGGATCGGGTGCCGCCGGGGTCCCGGTGCCGTTCCCAGCCGGGTGCGAGTCTCGGCAGGAGCTCGACTGCGGTGCGGGTGCCGGCGCGGAGCCGGTGCTGATGCGGGCCGAGCTGCGGCTCCTACTGCTGGCGGGGTCCCCGTGCCATCCTGGTCCCGGAGCAGCGCCGTAGCCTGTGCGGGTCGGAGTCCCGGTGCCGCTGCGGTGCAGGTCGGGTTGCCGGCCGGGATCCTGGTGCCGGCTCAGATCGGAGTCCCGGTACCGACGCCCGCCCCGCCGGTCAGGTGACGGCGGCTGGAATTTGACACCGGCGGCGGGAGAGGGATGGAGCCGCCGTTGCTCCGCACTGCGCGCCCGCCCGCCCGCCGGCACCGGCACCGCACCCCGAGGCGCACTGGGACCGGGACCCGCACCCCGAGGCGCAGCGGCAGCGGCACCGGGAGCAGCGGAGGGAGCCGGTGCCTGTGGGGCAGCGCCGGCCCCCGCCCGCGCCCCGCCCCGGCGCGGCGGCTGCGGGCGGCGGGGGGCGGCGGGGAGCGGAGGCGATGCGGGGCGGCGGCGGCCCGGGGGATGGTCCCCGCCGCGGGCACGGTGAGTGCGGGCCGGGGAGGCGGTCGGCAGCGTCCGCCCCAGCCTGCCGGCGGCGCCGGGCCTCGGCGGGGGCTCGTACCGGGGCTGCGAGGGCAACGGGGCGGCGGGAGGGTCCCGCTTCACCGCTCCCCACCCGGCGATACCCGCGGGGTGGCGAGGGGGCTCGGGTCGTTCCCGGGCAGGTGCCCACCAGGAGGGTCCTGGGTTGCCGAGCCCGGCCCGGCAGTCGGGCGCGCTCGGAGCCGCGGCTGGAACGGGAACTCCCTGCCCGGGTGGGGAGAGGCGGGACCCCGCTGCGGGTGCCCGGGGGACGCAGGGACCGGCTCAGCCGCCTCTACCCTGGGCTCCCGCACCGACCCTTTGGGCACATCTACCAGGTCTGTGCCCCGGCTGCTCGGGCGGGAGGCACTGGAGAGCCCCGGGACCGTGGTCCCTGGGCCGGCACTGCCCGGCACCCCAGGCGCTGCTTTGGCTGGGCTGGGGCCGAGTTTGGTCTCACCCGTGTGCCCCACGTGTCCGCTCCAGCCTCCCACGGCCTTGCGGGGCGGGTGCCAGCCCCGCGTCACACGCGGAGTCCGTTTCTGCCCCCCGGCACTCCTCCTGCCAGGGGCAGCGCGGCGGGATGCCGGATCTCCGCCCTCTCCGCCGGTGCCCGCAGGTGCCCAGGGGGGTCTCCGAGCATCGCCGCGCTCTGCCGGGCAGGACCCGCGGCTGCAGGGCTTGCACAGCAAGTAGCGGCGAGCGAGACCCCGGCACAGCCTCCTCCACAAGCGGCCACTCCAGGAGCTGAGACCCTCACCCCGGGGTCGGGGCACCCCCTGGCCCTGTGCGGGTGCGCTTCGCGAAGGGCTTCTGCCCTCCTGGGGGCCTGGTGCGGTTCCCGGGGCTCCCGCTCCTCAGCGCCCTGGGCACAGAGGGAGCGGCGGGGCCCTCGCCGGGGTCTGCACGGGTAGGTGCGGGGTGACCCGCACTGGTGTTACTCCAGGTCGCTGCCGTGGGGGTGCGAGCCTGGCATCCCCGTGGGGTGCCCGGAGCTTGGCTCAGCCCCTGCTCAGCCGGGGCTGGCACGGGCTGCGGTCCTGCGGCTCGGGGAGCTGCCCCCGGGGATGGGGCTCCAGGCCTGCGGAGACACTGGCGGGCATGTCCGCAGCCCGGCTCCGGGGCTCCCGGGGACGAGGGGAGGCTGCCCTCACCCGGCGTCCCGCCGACAGCGCTCCTGCCGCAGAGCCCGGGGCCGTGCTGCCGCCGGACGGGAGAAGCCTGAACTGCATCGACTGCTCCGTCCCGTCCCGTCCCGTCCCGTCCGGCCGCGTCCCGCAGGGATGCTGGGGCTGAACGAGGGAGCGGGGACCCTCGCCTGCCCCTCCGGGGGTGCCTGCCTGGGAAAACCATGACCTGGCGGCAGCGGCTGGCGGGGGGCCACGGGCCTCCACGGGAGCGACGTGCACTGTGGGCTGTGCTTGGCCGGGCTGCGGCGGCTGGCGGGGCCGGGGGCACGGTGCCAGCCCTGCCTGCACCCGGGCGCATCCTGCGGGGTGCACGGCTCCGGAGGAGGCACATGGGCCTGGCAGTGCGCATCAGAGCCCCTCGCCACGGTGTGGCCAGCGCAGGGTGGCTTCAGCTGAGGCCATCAGGGCTTGGGGACTCTCCCCTGCGGTGCTGTCGGGGCTGGGAGAACTGATTTTGTTGCTTCACCCAGCGGTGCTCAGCCGGGTCTCTTCATTTTTTAGCCAGGAGCTCTCTCCTCTGCATGTTCTGTCCCAGCTTTGCTATGGAAGCACCTGGGACATGTCAGGGCAAAGCCGTGGAAGGGATGGGGGAACTCCCAGCTGCAGGATGCTGCTGAGCTCCAAGGGTTCAGTCTGGGGATGCAGCAGACAGACCAAGACCCCTTGGGAGCCACATTTGGTGGATCCTGGCTTGGGAACCGAAGGCACAGGGGCCTCCTGCACCCCAGGGGAGCAGCTGGGGAAAGAGGTGCAACAAGTGGCTGCAGACTGGAAGTTGCCCCTGCACCTCCTCGGGGGACATCGATCCCTTGAGACCATGCTCATGGCTCCACTGGGACTACGCATGGCAGGGAACGGATTCCCCTGTGTGTGTCTGGGCAGTCGGTGTGGACAGTGGTGTTGGGGTGAATGACTTCAGGGAACCCAATACGTTGTCCTTCACCCCGCTGTGTCCCCATGGGACCTGCCTGCCCATCCTGCCCATCGCGGTCCCGGGCTGCTCCCCAGCTCAGAGCAGGCAGCAGGCGGGGGAGCCAATGCATGGCCAGGGGGTGGCTGCACCCAAGGACCCTGCACTAATGGATTTGGAGTTTCCAAGGTCAGGCTCCCACTGTGAGCAAGAAAAACATTCCCAGGGAAGGGCCATGGGAAAGGCCCCCCCGCATGGCGCTCCCAGCCCCAGTCGCTGCCTCACAGCCCAGCCTGGCATCCCAGTCCGCTCGCACAAGGAGGTGGCTGCATCCCCCTGGGGAGAGGTGCTGGGAGAAGGCTGGGCTGCCCCAGCTGCCAAATCTTTTGGAAGGGGTGCAAGGGGTGTCAAGGATGCTTGACTGTGTAGGGAGGGGACAGGGGGGGAGTCATGCCTGGGGTGCAGGAGGTGTTTTGGAGTCCTGGGGGTGAGGGAGAGGATGGCAAAACCAGCAGGGGTGGGAGAGAGGTTTGCCAGCTCCCAGCTTGGTGCCCACCCAATCCCCTCTGCATGGGTGCTGACCCCATCTCTGCACTTGCAGCCAGCATGGAGCAGCGAGCAGAGCCACCAGAGCAGAGATCTGCAGGACCCACCACACACCCACAGCCCAAGGTGAGGCCAGAGCTGGCTGGCTATGATGGCCAGGACCACATATCCCCATCCCCACCTCGTGGAGTCTTGTCTATGGTGTGGGGACCTCACCCCACTGTGCTGTGCTCTGTTGCAGGAGGGGACACTGTGGGGGCTCCTCACCATCCTCTCACTGCTGGCTGGGCTGGCTGCAGGCACCCTGCGAACCCCACACTGCAATGAGACGCTGGACGCAGCCCCAACGCCACGGAGCATGGCCACTGCCAGCCCGGCTGTGGAGGATGCCGTGGAGGTACCGCTTGCTGTGGCCTGGAGCCAGCTGTATGGTGCGTGTTGGGTAGTGTGGGGCACGGGTGGGTTGGGAGCTGCTTTGAGGAGCCTCGGCACTGGGGCCAGGCTGGGGGGGGCGTGGGGGGGCTGAACACATGGGCCCCTCTGCTTCATGCTGGGGATGGTGGCAGAGCCCTGGGTATGAGAAGATGGTTGGCTGGGTGCCCACTCACCCTGCAGGCATGTAGCCAGTGCTACGGTGGGTGGTCAGGGGGAGTATGCAGGTCATGGCAGGAACAGGCAGGCTCAGCAGGCTCCAGGAGAGCGGTGGGTGCAGGATGGGGTCTGACGGTGCTGTCCCCTCTGCATGCAGGGGACAACGCAACAACAGGTGGCCCAGGTGCTGCGGAGCTAGCAGAGGACCTGCTGCTGCGTGCCGAGCGCTCGCCACCAGGCACCGGCAAAGCCAAGAAGGGGGCGCGGAAACCTTCCCGGGGGGCCCGCGGGCGCAACTGCCACATCCGCAACCTGATGGTGAAGGTGCGAGACCTGGGCCTGGGCTTCAACTCGGACGAGATCGTGCTCTTCAAGTACTGCAGCGGGTCCTGCCACCGGGCGCGCAGCAACTACGACCTGACGCTGGGCAGCCTGCTGCGGCAGCAGCTCATCACCCCGGGGCCGCAGGAGCGGGTCCTCAGCCACCCCTGCTGCCGGCCCACTCGCTACGAGGCCGTCTCCTTCATGGACGTGCAGAACACATGGCAGACAGTGGAGAAGCTCTCGGCGGCCGAGTGCAGCTGCATTGGCTGAGGAGGGGGCATCCAGCTCGGCTCCGGCTCGACGCAGGCTGGCAGAGCCCGTCTTGCCGCACGCAGCGGCGCTGGCGCTCAGAGGAAGGGGGTAGCAGAGGCCGGTGCCCCCGTTTTTACGTGGCCACGAGGAACCGAGGGGAGATGGAGCCATGACAGGGGGTGGCTGGCTGCTCAGTGCCAAGCAGCTGGTGCCACTGGCTACGTGGGATCCTGCCCCAGTGCGCCCTGGCTCAGCCGTGGGAGAGGAGCTGGAGCATCCCTGCAGCTTACAGGGGTCTGCCAGCCCAGCGTCCACTAGCAGCACCCAGCTTGCCTGTGCCCTTCCTGGACTGGTGCTCCTGCACCCCTACTTTAGAGCATCTGGGGACAGGCATCACCCAAGCTTCAGAGTGGGACAGAAAGGCAACAAAACCTCCCTGTCCCCTCGGGCACCCTGGGGGTGGCGGCGGCTGGAGCTGCCCTGCAGGGGTGCAGCGGGGTGGGGGATCTGCACCCCATGTGCTTCACAGACACCCATCTGCTCCCGGGGGGCGGCAGGGACCCCCCACCGTGCTGCAGCACTAAACTATTTATTACTCTAAATTATTTATTTATTGTTCTCGAGCAGCAGCTCCTATTTATGACTTTGGGCCCCCGGGGGCCGGGTGTAATTTAACCCCAGCGCTGCTGCGAAGCCCTGGGCAGCGCCCCGGCTCCGCACCCGCAGCCCCCGTTTTGTTTTCTACTGTTTGTAAAATGGGAGGGATAAACTCTATTTTTGTACAGTCGCCTTTTCCTGTAGCAATAAAGCGATGGGCCGCGCGTCCAGCCCCTGCCTCTGCCCGTGCTGTGCTGGGGCCGGACGGGGATGCCCACGGGCCGGCCGCTGGAGGCGGTGCTGAGCGGGGCTCCCTCTGCCCGCACCGCACCGCACCACTCGTGGGGAGCAGGGGGCGGTGCTTGGTGCCGGTGCCCGGCAGGGGGCGCGCGTGTGCCGGGACTACCGCTCCCGGCGTGCGGCGCGGCGCCGAGGCAGGGCCCGGGCTGCCCGGTCGCGCCTGCGGGGCAGCGGGGCGAGGCGGTGCCGGAGCGGAGCGGGGCGGTGGTGGTGGTGCCGCTCGGGGCGTCCCTCGGGCGCTTCCCGGCCCGACCGCCGCTGCCCGCCGAGTCCAGCCCAGCCGCGCCGGTGCTGAGCTGCGCCGGTGCCGCCGCCCTCGTCGGGGCGGGGAGGCGGGTCCCGCCGCGATGCGGCTGCCCGTGCGCTGTCGCCCGCCCGCCGCCGCTGCCTCCTGAGCGCCGCCGCAGCCATGGAGCGGAGGGCGGAGGCGCCGCCGCCGCAGGGCCTCGACTTCACCGTGGAGAACGTAGAGAAGGTGAGCGACCCGCACCCAGCACACCCGCGGCGGGAGCGGGGGGGGGGCTGCGTGCCGGGAGGGACCCGCTGGGGGTCACCTGCTCGGAGGTGCCGGTCTCGGGAGGGCGGCGGGCGGCATCCCCGGTACCCTGCCCGCCCCGCCAGCCCTGCCCGGGGGTCCGCCCGGTGCGGGAGGTGGAGCCGGCGGCTCCTGCGCGCCGGGGCAGCCCGTGGAGGGAAAATGATGTGGCAGAAATGGGAGCAACAGGGAGGAGCTGTGTCCCCGACGGGCGTCCTCTGGGTGGCCGTGTTACAGCTCCGGGCGCGGGGAGCCTGCGGGTCTGGTCCTAGCTGCTGGCCAGCAGGGTCTGTGTGAAGCCCGACGTTATCAGCGTCTCCATCAGGCAGGAAAGCGGCTCTCGCCAGGTGCTGGGAGCTGTTGGGAAAAGCCTTTAGGGGTTGGATGGTTCGGTGATGCCTTTCTAAACCTGGAATCCAGCCCTGCAGCTCCTGCTGATGCTCGGGGTTAAGCAAAGGCAAGGCCAGAGGAGCAAGGGTGTGATTGCTGAAACCTGGGATCTAGGGAACAGCCATGGCAAACTGAGGCCTGCCAGCATCACACTACAGCTGGGAAGAGCCCCAAGCGGCCCGTGTGTGGCTGGGGGTTCATCATGGAGATCAAGCAGGGCACCCCAGCAAGAGATGGGGGAGGCAGCTGAGCAGCAACCTTCCCTTGGGCTGTCTTGGAGGTGATGGGGGCAGGGCAGCAGAGGATGCATCAGTGAAGGGCAAACAGCAAAAGTGTGTTTCTCCCTTCCACTCATCCTGTAGCCAGACTGACAGCCTGTCGATCCATAGCTCGATCCCAGGACAGCTAGTGGGAATCCCAGTGTCCTCGTTTTTCCTTGATAAGAATAGACCGAGTTCCCTGCCAAAGTGATGCCCACGGGTGTGCTGGTGGGCGCACGGCTTGTGTTCCACTTGCCCGGCCTCACAAGAGTGTCGGGTCAGGGGTGCCAGGTTTGTCACTGGGCACCCATTGCCTTTGTGGCTGCAGGTGAGACACAACCCACCTCATCCAGTGCGACACAAAGCATGGCCGGGGGGATTAACTGCTGTCTGGAAATTGATGCAACCTTCTGCAGCTTAATCTGCATATACCCAGTGCTGCGGGATGGTTTTCCTCCGACTTCCTTTCTCTTCGGCAGACACAAGCCGCTCCTTTGTCTGCACCAACAATGCAGCACACACTTGCCCGGGAAGGATGGGCAGTGCCAAGGCAGGGGCCAGTGTCCGGCGCTGGCCAGAGGCTGCTCACCCTGGCTGTGCTGCTCCGGGTTTAGTCTGCTGCCGCCTGGGAGGAGGCAAAGATGCCCTCTAGGATGCTCTGGCTCCCCTCCCCCAGCCTGCCTGGCTTCTCCCGGTCTCCGCAGGCTTTGCCATCACGGTGGTGTCCTCTGAAGATGCAGCTCTGGACCACGGTGGGGATCTGAGCTGCGGGCTGGGGGCAGCAGTGTGGTGCCTGCCCAGAGGAAGGAATGAGGTGGGCTCAATAAAACACAGATTCAGCAGCTCAGAGCCCCCCTGTGTGTGTCTCTTCAAGGGGGGGCTGTGGTACAAAGGGAAAGGAAGGTGGGCTTTGCTGGGGGCTGTGCTGGTGGGAGGCAGGTGGGTAGAGCTGCTTTGTCAGAGGTGACGGTGGCAGATAAATGATGCTTCTACTGGCCTGGGCTCTTCTGCTGCCAGGTTTTATGCATGGCTCTATTAATAACATGGAATGCTGATTAAAGTCAGGGTTTGACTCCACTCTGAGTCAGTGATAAGTGTTAGGAACAGCGTGAAGAGCTGGTTATCCCTTAAGTCAGAGGCTTGAAGTGTCTCCGTGTTACCCACAGTGAAAGTCATCACCTGTGGGACTTGCAGCCAGGGAAGTCTCTGGTGAGACTGTGCCTGTCATGCTCTTCTGATGGTTTTTGTGGAGAGGATTCACATCCCTGGAAGACCCTTCTGTACCCCGTGTTGTTTATTATGTGGTGGGCTGGGCAAATGCCCACAGAGTTTTGCAGGGCTCTGGGTACCCACATGGGTAAAGAAGGTCATTGCTGTGTGTATCCATCATGACCTGTGCCAGAGAGAGCTGGTTCAGGCCCTCCATCTGCGACCAGTAGTTGCAGGGAGGCGGGAGGGTGTTGGATGCTGTAGGCTGGACCCATGCTATCCTTTGCCAGCCAGCAGGTCTGAAAGCCTATGGGCAGCAGGCAGACAGCTGACCCTTTTCCTGAGGAGGTGTCAGGTTCGGGTGTTGCACTTCAGGAGCCATCTGAAAGTTGTTCCCTATAGGTTTTTTCTCCATATTTTTCCATAGGCTGCTGTCCCATGGCACAGAGAAGGATCAGGGCTGTGCTGGGCTGAGCTGTTGTGGTACAGTTACTGTGTCAGCATCCCCCAGTGCCAGCGGAGGGCTGCTCAGCTGCTCTGTGTTGTCTTCTGAGCCTGACCTAGATGCTGCTTTGGCTTGGGCACAGCTAGAGCTGGCTGGCATGGCCGTGCTGTGTGGACCTGCTGGGCAGCCGGTAGCTCAGGGCTGGCTCTGCTTCCCCTGTGCCTGCTGCTATATTGGAGGAGTCAAAGGGAAGGCTGGGCAAGCCGAGGGCTTCAGGATGTGAGGATGCTTGGCCTTCCCATGCCCACTTCAGTGTGCTTTCTTGTGCCCAGGGGCTGTCCGTGCCATGACTGACAGGCTGGTGATGGGGTGATGCTGCCCTGGGGAAGGGACACCCCTGCTGCAGTATCTGGTAAAGATGAGTTGCAGATGTTCAGTCCCTGCTGGCTGTGTTGGTCTTGGAGGAACAGTGCACAGGATTTGTGCCCTGTATTTTTGGTCTCCCATAGGTCACAGTTAGAAGCATCTAGCACTGCAGTGCTGGACAGGAGAAGAGGAATGCAAGACCCTCTGTACCTGTTTCAGTGCAATCGAACCTGCCCCGGCAGCATTCCCCCTCTTGAAATAAGGAAGAAGGCAGTGCCATTCCTCTGTGAATTTCCCAAGTGCCTGCTCTCACCCTCCATTATTTTTGTCTGATTCCTTCCAGGTCTTTCCTCCCTTGGCCCGCCTGTCATCCTCTGGGGTGTTCGTAATATTCACTGACATCTCCTCCCTAGCACATTAGCTGTCTGGCATCTCTGGGCCTTCCAGATTGCCATGTGCCTCTCTGGAGATGCCTGATGAATGCACAGTCTCTCCGGCAGGGATGGGTAGGCGGGGTGTCATGGAGCTGACATCCGGAGCCTTCCGTGATGGGAGAGGGGTGGCTTTGATCACCGCTCCTCAGAGATGCTGAGCCTCGGGGATGTGGCAGCTGCTGGGGCTGCCTTCCGTACAGCAGGATGGGGAGGAGAAACCCATGTGCATCTGCTTTCTTCAGTAGGTTATTGCCTGTCTTCAGAAACCTGATCAGGAGATTTATGGGTATGTCAGGGTGGGGGAATGGCATCCCCTGTTCAATAATACACTGCTGACAGCAGCTTGGCCACTTCTTCTTTAGAGGCAGCCCATATATGTGAGACATGGCAGACATGCCAGGAATGGTGAGTTAGGGGCCTCAGGAGGTGACATGCTTGCAGAATTGAGGGAAGCGAGGACACTCAGTGTTGATCTTCACCCCAGAAGCAGGTCCCACCCAGAGCCAGCCTTGGCTGAGCACTTTGCTCCTTCCTGTGGTGTGCTGGTGATGGGATGAGAGGGCAGCACCTCATGTTTGCCTTGCCTCAGCTCTGCTGTACAAGGACCATCACTGGAACCTCATCTGAGCTCTGATGTCTTACAAAGAAGGGATGGGTGGGATTGGTGCCTGGGCACCAGTGGGGATTCCTCTCTCAAGTCAACTGGTCCACCAAAGTGATGGATAGAAACATGAGGTGGGCAGGGGCGTTTGGCTCACCCTTCCAACTCACCCTGTGCTCTGCACTCCCAGGGTTCTCCCCTGGTCCTCACCCTTTGCTTGTTCAGGTACCTGGCCACCACCACTGGGAGCACACCCATTCCCAACAGCCCCCATCCCTGCTGGGGACCGTGCTGTTACCTGCAAAGGGCTGCTGGCAGGGAAGCAGCAGGAGGGATGCTGAGG